TATGTATGTATGTATGTATGTATGTATGTATGTATGTATGTGTGCGTGTGCTTGTACGTGCGTGTGCGCGCGTGTCTGTGTCGCTGTGAGATGCTGCTGCACTGGCCGTTGTCAACGCGCCGCTTGCCGCTCCATCAATAGAGCGTGAGCTTTCTCGCTGATTGATACTTGCAGCCGGCTCATCTACCTTATGGATCACTCCGCGTTAACAACGCCTATTGTGTTCAATCAATCGACTTTCTCATCTGTTAATTACGACGCCGTTGTCATTCGGGAGCGCGCCGAGCGTTAGGTAAAGGTTCGGGTTACCAAAAAACATGGTTACCGATTAACAACGAAACAGACCCCGCGTCAGTGACGCTAGAGGTGACGCGGACGCAAAAAATTTCGATTAGAGACTATGGTACACTGCGCGAACCCGTGCGTGAATAATTGATCAACGTACTCGATTCATAATTTTATTTAGGTGCGCTCGCACGGAACGCACTAAACGTGTGTTCATGTGTTATGTAGGGTGCATAGGACACGGGGTTGTTTCAAAGGGTTTAGCGAACAAACGTTCATTTCGGGCATATTAGCATAAATTTATTGCGGAGGCATCGTGCAATTTTCTACTTTAAATCCATCATCACACGCAAGTTTCCCCTTTTCGGAGTGCTACGTGCTCGCTATTCCTCCGCTTCATGGTTTCAGCATATTTGCACATTACCTATTAAGCAAGATATAATATCTCTTAGACGGATCACAGTCTAAACGCAAAATGAGATAACCCTGCCCCGTTTTGATGCTAAAATCATGATGATCAAACGAACATCTAATAGGAATGCATATAACCGAGATTGAAAAAGACGATACGCTTTAACGAAATAGCTTGTTAGCGGTAATATATTTCTCCCGAGGAATATATATATATATATATATATATGCAGCTTTAGACACGGACGAGGTAGCATCTTCCGTTCTGCAACATTCCGTGTGTCCCATGAGTGCGGCACGTTTTTTGCTTGCAGCATATCGCCTGCACGCTCGCCGGCTCCGCAGCCGCAGCGGTGGTGAGCACCGCCAGCGATTCTAAACTGTTGATTACAAGCATGACGAGCTATCGTTATTTAATATTGTTCGCAAAATATTTAATCTATTGATTGTGCGAAATTAGATTTCGCGTCAATTATTTGTCGTCAGTTAATGCTTCGCTTGGCATTTTAATCATTAATAATGTGCTTGCTGCAGCGACTGTTGACAGAGGCGATGCGTGGCTGAGGCTTATAGACCGGTGATTATCTGTCCACCAGCCAGAGCAAATAGTACTAAGTAACCGAACGCAGTCTCCCATACCTATTGATCTGAAGAAAGATACCGGCTTGCTCGCGGACTCAGGACTAATACACGCGGGAGAGTGTTTCTCATTCGTAATACAGCGAAAGACCGCCGGGCTCCGGTCGCGCGTCACCATCGCTAAAAAGCGAAAAGCGGTGCGGTGATGGGGGTTGGGGATTTTTATCACTATATGCAACTAACAGTGGTGTCAACGTGGCTACTGAGTACACAGTA